AAAAGAACACATGCTCCACTATGTTCATAGCAGCCTTATTTACAATAGCCAGAAGCTGGAAAGAACCCAGATGTCCTTCAACTGAGGAATGGATACAGAAATTGTGGTACATTTACAGAATGAAGTATTACTCAGCTATTAAAAACAATGACTTTGAGAAATTCTTAGGTAAATGGATGGAACTAGAAAATATCATCCTGAGTGAGGTAACCCAATCACAAAAGAATACACATGATATTCACTCACTGATTATTGGATATTAGCCCAGAAGCTTGAAATACCCAAGATTCACAGACCACATGAAGCTCATGAAGAAGAAAGACCAAGTCGGGGCCCTTCAGTCCTTCTTAGAAGGAGTAACCAAATACTCAAGGGAGCAAATATGGAGACAAAGTGTGGGACATAAACTGAAGGAGGGGCCGTCTGGAGACCATTCCACCTGGGTAGTCATCCCATGTGCAGTCACCAAAGGTAGACGCTGATGTGGATATCAAGAAGTGCATGCTGACAGGAGCCTGATATAGCTGTCTCCTTAGAGGTCTGACAGAGTTTGACATAGTCAGAGGCAGATCCTCACAGCTAATCACTGAACTGATCAAGGGGTTTCCAATGGAGGAGTTAGAGTGAAGACTGTAGGAGCTGAAAGGGTTTGTGGCCCCATGAGCAGAGCAACAATAACAACCAACCAGAGCCCCCAGGGTCTAAACCACCAGCCTAGGAGCACTTAGGGAAAGATCCATGGCTCCAGCTGTCTATGCAAGGGAGGATGGCCCTGTGGGGCATAGGTGGGAGAGGAGATCCTTGGTCCCATGAAGGCTGGATGCTGTGTGTGGGGGAATTCGAGGGTGGGGAGGTGGGAGTGAGGGGTAGGTAGTGCCACATCCACAGAGAAACAGGAGGAAGGGTGATGTGATGGGGGCCAGGGGGAAATGGGGTAAGCAGATAACATCTGAACTGTAAATAAAATACCCAATAAAAATAATAATAAATTATAAAAAGAAAAAGAAACAGATGCTGAGACCAACAGCCAAACACTAGGCTTGCGGAGCTTGGGGAATCCTACAGAAGAGGGAGACGAGGAGCCAAAGGAGTCAAGGACACCACAAGAAGACCCACAGAATCAACTAATCTGGGTTCACAGATGCACAAAGAGATTAAACTGCCAACCAGTGAGCCTGCACGGGGCTGACCTAGGTCCTCGATGCATATGTAACAGTTGTGTGTGGGATCCTTTAGAGTGGGAACAGGGTCTGTCTCTGACTTTGTTGCTTGCTTTGGAGACCCTTTCCTCCTACTAGGTTGCCCTGTTCCAGCCTTAACAGGAGAGGAGGTGTCTAGTCTTAGTGTGACTTGATGTGCCATGGCTGGTTGACATCCACGAGAGGCCTAGTCTTTTCTGAAGAGAAAGGGAGGAGGCATGGATGAGGGTGGAGAAGAGGAGGGTGGGGAAACTGGGGTTGTTAAAGATGTAAAAATAAATAAATAAATAAAATGTGCAAATCTAAAAAAAATAAAAGATTACTTGTTTTTTTCTTGTATAAGACTTATATTCAGTTTTTCAGCAACCACATGGTTCACAATCATCTTTAACTCCAGTTTCAGGGCACCCAACACCCCTCTTCTGAAGTCCTTGAACACCAGTGACGCTCACTGTACATATATATACATGCAGGCAAAACACCCATACACATAAAATAAAAATAAAGCAATAATAATCAATCAAACAAACAAAAATCTGGGCATAATGGTACACATGCTTGTGATCTCAGAGACTGGAGGACTTTGCGTTCCAGGCCAGCCTGGGCTGAAAGGAAAGAGAAAAGGTAAGCAAGCTGACTCAGTGGGTGAAAGATCTTGTCACCCTGGACCCAGGTGGTGCAAGGAGGGAACCTATATCCCAAAGTTGTCCCATGACCTTCATCCACTCACAGTGAAATCAAGGTACTTATGTGTTTTCTGCCGTGCCCTCTAAACTCACAAATAAAAAGTGTAAAAATTAAAATTAGAAAAAACAAAACAAACAATCCATGGTTGTCACACTGTCCACAGTCCCAGTAATTGGAAGCTAGAGGAGGCAGGGGATAAGAAGTTCAAGGCCATCCTGGACTTGCTTGAAAATCATAGTTTTGATTGTTTTTTTTAATAAGTAAAAAATATAAAATAGACGTTTGTAAGGTTGCAGTGTGTGTTATCAGTTTTCAAATAGGATGTAAACAAGGAATGAACAAGGCTGAATCTTTTTTGGATGTTTGAAAATTTCTAGATCACAATGGATGCTGACCATTTAAGAGTACTTTTTTTTTGTTTCGGTTTTTCGAGACAGGGTTTCTCTGTGTAGCCCTGGCTGTCCTGGAAATCACTCTGTAGACCAGGCTGGCCTCGAACTCAGAAATCCGCCTGCCTCTGCCTCCCAAGTGCTGGGATTAAAGGCGTGCGCCACCACTCTCCAGCAAGAGTACAATTGATCAGGTTGGATAAACTTTTTTCATGTTACTGTGCAAAGCTACATATTAATAAAAAAGATTCAAAGGCCCAGAACATAAGCAAAGTTAACAGAGAAGTAACAGGATACCACAAAAATAATGTGCAGTGCTCAGCAACCACAAACTTAATAACTATTAGCAAAGAAATCCAGGAAATGAATAAAAAAAAGACGACTTTGGAGGTGACTCAGCTATAAAGCCCTTCTTTTAGGATACATAGGAGACCTTAGGTTCAATTCCTAACTCCAGAAAGGAAGATATGATAAGATAAAGACAAAGCACATACGCTGCTAAGTTTAAATTAGTGCAAATTTTCAGAAAATAATTTTCAGGAAATAATTTATCAATACCCCTGAATTTAAAAAAACTCAAATATTCTTTAATTCAGTAATTATACTTCTAGGAATTCACCATTTCAACAGAAATATTCAAATACAATTAATACACATTTTACTTTTTTGGAACTGTTTGCAAATACCAAGAAAGCCTAAAACAATAAATTACTTTACATGGGTACAACTACAGAAGTTATCGTATTTCTACACTGTGGAATACTGTATCTATAGAAATACCCTAGAGATGCCTAAAATATATTATGTGCAAATGTCACATAATTCATTTTATTTTTTCAAAAATGTGCACCAAACTCTTGGGCTTGGAATTTTAATAGGGATGTTTAAGGCAGACAACGGTTAAAGATGCATTTTACTAAATTCCAAATTTTGTCATTTATAATTTCAAACCCACAGTAAACCTGAAGTACTGATTTTAATCACTTCTTAGATTTTGCCACCATGTTTTTAATACAATCAGACCTCATGATTTTAACACAATATACTTTAAAATACACAATTTGAAGTTTTAGCACATGGACATTGCTTTTTGTAATAAAATATCACTTTTATAATTACTGGATATGACTTTCTCTAAGAACAGACATCAAATATACTTTTATAAATTATTGGTCCCTCTTTATTTCTTTCTTCTAAGCCAAATGTCCTTTTACAAATTGAAGTTTGCAAGTATAAATGAATAACATTTACACCACGGGAACTCTGCTTTTGTATCTTAGCTATCTAAGCAGTTATTGACTACAAATGTGAATAATGTTTTCTTTCCTCATTTTGAGTGGATATGATTATACTTCTGATACAGGAAATATGAACTTCCTGTATCAAGAAAACTGATCACTTGCAGCCTTTGTACAATCATCAAACTTTCAAAAAACAATACTTGCATGGGTTTTACATTCAGTGACATAAATGTGGTGTTTTAGTCAATATTTTTAAATCAGTTTTCTTTACATGTTTAAGTCTGTTATGCTTGCTTGTCATAGAAAGATCCCTTATGACTTAGAATTGTGATGGCAAGATAAAGAGAAAAGGGGGTGTGGCTGGGCAAGTGGCTCCACAGGTACAGTGCTTGCTTAGCATGTAGGGAATCCGGGTTGGACCCTAAGGTATAGTCAAGTACTCTTGTAATTCCAACACCTGGGAGATGGAGGTAGGAGGATCAAGAGTTTGGAGCTAGCCCGAGATATATGAAATCCTGCCTCGAAAACCAAAAAAGATCGAAAACCAGTAAATGTATATTACACACTTGTTTAGTTTTTCTTGGTTTTCTTTTGGCATTTTTCCTCCCATTTTTTATGTGCTCAGCCTGTAGTGTTATCATCTGCCTTAATTACATGTCTTATACTAAAAAGAGCATTTATTGATGACAAACTTCATTTTCTGGCTGACTTCCTACTTCTGATACAGGAAATATGAACTTCCTGTATCAAGAAAACTGATCACTTGAAGCCTTTGTACAATCATCAAACCTTCAAAAAATAATACTTGCATGAATTTTACATTCAGTGACATAAATGTGGTGTTTTAGTCAATATAAGTTATCAAATCACTGAATATCCCCTTTGAACAAACGTTAAGTGCTAAAACATACAAGGCTGGAAATACTTCATGTTTATGTAAAATCCAAATCAATACACTCTTCAACCTACATATTTTTTATAACTGAAATAGGACTGGAACTAATATTAATTAAAACTCTCTCTCTCTCTCTCTCTCTCTGTGTGTGTGTGTGTGTGTGTGTGTGTGTGTACATCACAGGAGGAGTCCTGAGAACCACATCCTTAATCTTTCTGCTAAACTAAATTTAAACCACACCCAAGTATTTCAAGGCACTTTGCAAGAGACACAGGCTGCTTGAAGTTAAGCAGCCTATTTCACTACCCTGTACCCCACCTTCTCACCCCACTTGTAATGAACAAAACAACAGAAGCAGTTTGTTTTCTGTTATCATGAGCTTCCAAACTCTTTAACTGTTTTGTTGCTGTTGTTGCTCCTGTTTGTTTTTGAGACAAGGTGCCTTTCTGGGACTCAGACTACCCTGGAACTTGCCCTCAATTCTCCTGCCCCAGCCCCCCTCTAGATGCTGGGTCTTCCTGGTGTGTGCCACCTTGCCAAGCTCCGAGCACTCTTTAAAACTTGTCTCCAATTCCCTCCAATTACTTACTGTTAAAATTGAAGTCCTCGGGTTGCTTGTTGGTCTTCCATATATCTCCGTACGGATCTTCGTTATTCCACAGAGCCAGGTAGTGACTCTTGCCCCCTCTTAGAGGCCTCTCTGGCTTTTCCTCATGTGCTCTGTTTCTAAATGGAGTTTCTACAGAAACAACATCTAGAGGCTCCCCACAGTGGACCTTATCTATGCACAGGATTCCCTGGCCCAATCTTTTCTCATTGTAAATGCACGAGACTCTGGAAATTCTCATTTCTATGCCAACTTTAAGAATATTCTGATAAACTAGAAAGTTTAAGCTGGGGTCTAAGTAGCACTTCTCCTGGTACACCCCGTCTGAGATTGTCACATCATAGCAGTAAAGGGGAGGCTTGGGCACTGTATCCCGTGGCTCATCCTCTAAAAGGTATCTTTGGACGGCCAGTACAGTGACAGGTACCACTTCAGAGAGGGTGACACACTGTCTAGGGGAGCCAGTTATTTGCTCAATAACCTTTTGGATCCAGGACCTGCGCCTTTGGACACCAGCTCTTCGGATCACTCCTCCTGGAACCCCAGCCTGATCTGTTTCCCGGAGCTCCGAGTGGCGCTCCGAGTGGCGCTCACCAGCGTGCGAGGGTCCTGGCTGAGGCTGACCCGACTCACCCGACATTGTGAGAAAACCGAAAACTCCTTGCACTCCAAAAAGCTTACTTGCCCTGCTCAAAAACCGGGAGAAAAGACGCTCCAGACAGGCGCGCAAAGCTCTTGGCACGGACTGGTCTGGTTCCGCCCAGAAGCGAGACTCAAAAGATTCCACGCGTGCGCATCAGCTTTCCCGCCTGTGCTTTGAGCCCCTATTTTGAGACTTTGAGACAATGTTTCTAGGGAGATGCACGAGAGAAGTACGTGGCACAATTCGGTCCTTGGGTTCCCTAGCGCACTGATGTACATCTGGGGGATAGGGAGGCACGGGGATGGGAGGAGAGAAGAGGGGGTTGTCAGGGTTTCCAAAATACAGCAGCTGCCCAGAAGGAGGAGCAAAAAGCGCTGCTGACCAGCCCCCCAAAGGAGAGCATGAAGAGGTGGTGGAAAATAGGAAGCAGCAAAAAAAAAAAAAAAAAAAAAAAAACGAGGTCTAGCCAGGCAGTGGTGGCGCACGCCTTTAATCTCAGCCCTTGGGAGGCAGAGGCAGGCGGATTTCTGAGGCCAGCCTGGTCTACAGAGTGAGTTCCAGGACAGCCAGGACTATACAGGGAAATCCTGTCTTGAAATACAGAAAAAAAAAAAAAAAAAAAAAAAAAAAAAAAAAAAAAAAAAACCAGGAGGTCTAGTGGTCCTGATGCAGGAACTGGGTCAGGAAAAGAAAACATTTTAGGGTTATCACATTCACGTGTATTTAGTAAGTCGGTGCTTTGTAGTTAAGAAACATGGATGTGGCAACTTTGCGCTTGTAGTATAAACAAAATCAGATAATATATGTACAGCCTTCAGGAAAGGTACTAGCACAAACGTTCTCAGTAAAACATCAGTTGCTATTGTTATTAGTGTAAGGATAATTATCTGTAGTCGCTCCCGAGTGCAGGGTGGGTGAATTAGTCAATGCACATGAAAATAGAAAATTGTAGAATTGAGTTGCTAAAGATCTTCCTTCAGATCAGACTTCTTAAAATGCATTTTTTAAATAAAGTACTTAGCGCAGTACACTGAAAGGATACACAGCTTCAGAAATTGTATTTCTTAAATACAAAGAATATATCAAAGATAACTGCAAAGTGAATACGCTGAACCGAAGAGTTAGAACTAAACACACAACATTTATTAAATGTACCCAGTCTGTGATCACAAACAAAACGTATGAACTTTTAAAAGAACGATTCTTAAAGGTGGTTGTGACCTACTTTTCTTTCTACTAATTCTTGGAAATGCTATCATTCTTTATACATTATTTTTGAAGTCCCTACTCCCAAGCGGGCAATATTGTAGGCCACTGGGGATGACTAGTCACTCTTTCATTTAAGCTCATCATTGATTAGGCTGAACAACTCTGCCTTTGTCAAATTTTGACTAACAGAAATTCTACAAACATTTACTTTCCTTTTTCCATAATGTATGTTTTTATTCATATTGCATCCCAAACACAGCCCCGCCCCCTCCTCTCCTCCCAGTCCTGTCCTTACAAATCCCTCTCCCATCATCCCCTACCCTTCTCCAGAAGCCCTTGAGTACCTCCTGGGGGCATCTAGTCCCAGCAGGACTAAGCACATCCTCTCCCACTGAGGCCCACCCAGACAGTCCAAGTAGGGGAAGGGGATCCAATGGCAAACTACAGAGTCAGAGACAGACCCCCTTAAATTTTTAGGGGACCCACAGGAAGACAAAGCTGAACATCTACTACAAATGTGAGGGGGACTAGGTTAAGTACCTGTGTGCTCTTTGGTTAGTAGTTCAGTCTCCTTGAGTCCCCCATCTTTTTCTTTATTTTAAAGTTGGGGTTTCATACAGGCTCCACTATATTCACAGCAGCCTTATTTATAATAGCCAGAAGCTGGAAAGAACCCAGATGTCCTTCATCTGAGGAATGAATATAGAAAATGTGGTGCATTTACACAATGGAGTATTACTCAGCTATTAAAAACAATGAATTCATGAAATTCTAGGCAAACGGATGGAACTATAAAATATCATCCTGAGTAAGGTAACCCAATCCCAAAAGAACACACATGGTATGCACACTGATACGTGGATATTAGCCCAAAAGCTCAGAATACCCAAAATACAATACACAGACTACATGAAGCCCAAGAAGAAGGAAGATCAAAGTGTGGGTGCTTTAGTCCTTCTTAGAAGGAGTAACTAAATACTCATGGGAGCAAATATGGTGACAAAGCAGGGGACAGAAACTGAAGGAAGGGTCATCTGGAGACTGCTCCACCAGGGTCTCCATCCCAGGTGAAATTACCAAAGGCAGACACTGATGTGGATGCCAGGAAGTACATGCCAACAGGAACCTGATATAGCTGTCTCCTTAGAGGTCTGCAAGAGTCTGACATAGTCAGAGCCAGATGCTCACAGCTAACCATTGAATTGATTTTGGGATTCCCAATGGAGGAGTTAGAGAGAAGACTGAAGGAGCTGAAAGGGTTTGTGGCCCCATGAGCAGAGCAACAATACCAACCAATTAGAGCTCCCAGGGTCCAAATCACCAGCCTGGGAGCACATAGGGAGGGACCCATGGCTCCAGCTGTATATGTAGGGGAGGAAGGCCCTGCTGGGCATAGGTGGGAGAGGAAGTCCTTGGTCCTGTGAAGGTTGGATGCACCAGTGTGGGGGAATTCGAGGGTGAGGAGGTGGAAGTGGGAGGGTGAGTGGTGGCACATCTTTATAGAAGCAGGAGGAAGGGAGATGGGATGGGGCTTCTGGTTGGAGGGAAATAGGGAAAGGGGATAATATCTGAAATGTAAATAAAGTGTCCAATAAAAAATTAATCAAAAAAATTTAAAAGTTGGGGTTTCATGTATTTCAGACTGGCTAGGAATTTTCTTGTACCTGAGGATGAACTTGTGATCCTACTGCCTTTAGCCTTCCCCCTCTTTCTGTCATCACTGGCATGTACCACCAGTCCCAGTTTTATGTGGGTCTGGGGATAGACTGCAGGACATCAGTTATGCTAGACTAGTGTCAATTGAGATACATCTCCATATATCCACATGTTTCTTGTGTGTTGGCAAGGTACAGTCTTGCTATGTTCTTCTGGGACCTCTGGATCAGCTCCTGCCTCCAGGTTCCTGCCTTGTGAGAGTTCTTGTCTTGACTTCCTCCGATGATGAACAGCTATATGAAAGTGTAAGCCAAACAAGCCCTGTCCTCCCCGACTTGTCTTAATGCTCATGGCGTTTTGTCACAGCAATAGAAACCCCAAGAAAGACAGGGTGCTTGTATCTCAAATAGCAGCAATAGTAGATTCTATGAGACAGAGCATACTTATTTTCTAATAATTTCAAAAAATGCAAAAACAAGTGGGGAGTACTAGGAGGGGGAGTCAAAGGTGCAGTGTATTTTAAGAAGAGTGATAAGATACTTTCACTTGAGCGTTGTGATGGTTTGTATATCCTTGGCCCAGGGAGTGGCACTATTAGAAGGTATGGCCTTGTTGGAGTAGGTGTGTTCCTGTGGGCATGGGCTTTAAGACCCTCGTTCTAGATGTCTGGAAGCAAGTATTCTGCTAGCAGACTTCAGATGAAGATATAGACCTGTCAGCTCCTCCTATATCATGTCTCCTGGATGCTTCCATGTTCCCACCTTGATGGTAATGGACTGAACCTCTGAAGCTGCAAGCCAGCCCCAATTACATGTTGTCCTTATAAGAGTTGCCTTGGGTACGGCCCTCATGCCTCACTGGACAACAACAGGGTGACCAGAGCCATTACAAAGTCCCTTTCAATTACTGGAGGTCAGGCCTCCATCCCCGCCTTCGCAAGATTAGAATCACCACAGACCTTCTGTAGGAGATATCAGGGGCAGTCCTGCTTACACACTGAAGGCCTAAAATCATCCATAGGCCTAAACTCAGCAATAGGCCTGTCATACATGTATACTAACACCAAGTCTTGGGTCTCTGTGGAAAAATACTGAAACAGATGGCTGTAAGCTATTGTAAACAGGCAGCTCTTGTGGAAATTTACCAGCCTGAGTAGTCATAGACCTTGTAAATAGGTAGCCTTGGCAGATAATACCAACTTAGATAAGGACAAGCAAATCATAGGCAGAGTCATAGTGCCCTGTCCCCTGAACCTCCACCCAGCCGATACCCTGTTCTGAAAAATATCTGTATTCCCCCTGAACACCCACACTCCAGTGTCATCCCCTTCCCCACGTCCTGCCTTTTTGTGTTTATAACCCCTGTATGAATGAGTATAAATTACAATTTGGAAAAAAAATTACATATATATATATATATGTGTGTGTGAGTGTGTGTGTGTGTGTGTGTATGTGTGTATACATATAATATATATATTCCCACTTTAAACCAGTTGATCTTTCTCCTTATAATTCTGCTATAATTTGATTGATTTTTAAAATCTCAAATGTTTTAATTAAAAATAAATATAGTATGATCCTTTTAATAATAAAAAGGGGGGCTCAATTTTTATAAATAAATGAAGACCTCAATTCTTACTGTCTCTCTTCCAAAGGGATAATTCAAGTGTAGGTTTTGATAAAAAATATACAAAACTCCAAAAATTCAATGCAGAAAATTTTTCTCTGAGTGCTGAAGAGATAGCTTAGTTAAGAAACTGCTATCCTTTTAAGCAGGTGGGAAGGCAGTGTTTGAGCCCCAGAAAATGAAAACATAAAGTAGAGGCATAAGGGCTGAGGCCGATTTGGGAGGAGTTAAAGGAGGAGTTCGGGTGAATGAACAGGATCAAAACATATTGTATGAAAGGCTCAAAGAATTAATCAAAATAAAACTTAAGCTGGGTTGCTGGGGAATTGTCAATAAGTACATCCCTGTGGCTCTCTGCCAAGCTAGCATAACCTACTTGGTAAGATCCAGGCCAATGAGACACCCTTTCTTACAAAACAATAAAAAGTGAACAGTGCTTGAGGAATGATAGTCAAGAATGTCCTCTAGTCTCCAGACGTAAACACACACACACACACACACACACA